GGGGGTGGGGAACTGGGGCCCTTGGGGATGAAGGAGCCAGGCGCGGGTGGCCTGTCCCGCTCTGGGAGGAGAGGGGATATATGCGGTGCGTTTAGCACTGACCTTGGCTCAACAGTTTTTCTCTGGGTCCCTGCACAGCACTGCAAGCAGTGCCTTGTCTGAGCTGTGGTGGGAAAAAAAAAAAGTGTTTCATTGCATTTGCTTCTTTGAGAAATAAAGGGAAAAAAAACTTCAGAATCATATTTTCTTGCAGGTTTATTGACACTCTGTCAGGATCTCTTTTGGAGTCTCCATGTTGTCCCACTTTTATGAAAGTGAGCTGAGCAACAGTGAGGGATTGTCTGCTTGGGCTGCGTGTTTGCTGTGAGCTTTAGTTTCATGATTCTGCAAAAGGCAGGTGCGTATCCATCAAGCAACAAAGAGGTACAGACTAAATGGATCTAAAGACAGCAGTGTTCAATGCAGCTCGTGATGGTAAGCTGCGGCTTCTTTCCAAGTTACTGGCAAACAAAACAAGAGAAGAAGTGACCTTACTTATGTCAGAAAAAACCAATGGTGCCACCCCACTGCTGATGGCAGCCCGTTACGGGCACCTTGACATGGTGGAATATTTGCTGGACCACTGCGCTGCCTCCATAGAAGTTGGTGGCTCTGTGAATTTTGATGGCGAGACTATCGAGGGAGCCCCGCCATTATGGGCAGCATCAGCTGCTGGTCACTTAAAGGTGGTTCAGTGCCTGCTGGATCATGGTGCATCTGTCAACAACACAACTTTGACAAACTCAACACCGCTCAGAGCTGCCTGTTTTGATGGTCACCTGGAAATAGTAAAATACCTTGTGGAGCACAAAGCGGACCTGGAAGTATCAAACCGTCATGGGCATACCTGCTTGATGATCTCCTGTTACAAGGGCCACAAAGAAATTGCTCAGTATTTACTTGAAAAAGGAGCAGATGTTAATAGAAAAAGTGTTAAAGGTAAGTTCATTGTCTCATTTTCCTTGTAGTAAAGAAGTTATTCAATTATTCCTCTTTAGGAGGCTCACATCCCAACATAATCATAATATGCATGTTTTTTTCCAATAAGAAATGAAGTGTGCTTGGTTATATTTTTACATCTTTTTCAGCATACTCATTTTCTTATTTATATAATTTCACTCTATATTGATGCCTTTTAATCTTAAAACCCCAATTCTTAAAAGGGTTTAGTCATATGAAACTTCTGCAAAAGCCAATTAACTTTTGCTTTTTATCTCATTTGCAGTGTGTATGTGTTTTGTAACATGTTCATAAATGTTTGTATAAAATTTAGGATGCTTTTCAGACTTTTTCTTAACAAACTAAATACACTGTATGTAAAACTGGCCTTGTGCCCCTAAGGCTAGAATAGAGAAACATACATAAAGGAGAATAATTCTGTTCTACACTGGATATGAATAAACGCTTTTTTTTTTTTCCCTAATGCTACTAAACAAAAATGTGTATTAGGATTCAGGAAATGAAGCTCCATGCAACTGTGATCACAATAGAGGGCTTCTGGTAGTGCACAGATCACAAAGGACATCTCTTAAATTACAATTATCCTAATGCTATTGTTTGAAGTGAAGACTTCTGTTCTTTTTGCAGTGATCATAATTATGTGGACCTCTTGTTCCAATCACTTAAGTTTTATTACATCTAAAACTTGCACATGAATATGACCAAAAAGCATATGGGTTATTGTAGGTTATGGTTAATTTTTAGTTCATTGAGTCAGAATTGTGTTTTAGAAGCTTATTCTTTATGTATGTTAATAATCTGCTAATAAATCTTTTTTGTAGGGTGATAGTTCCAATGACTGTTTCTGGCTAAATGCTTTTTTAACAATATGTTAAAAGTATGCTTTAACATGAAAAAAACATAGTGCATATCTTACTTAAATGTTAAATATGGGAGTAATGTATTTGAAATAGCTGTTCAGCTAAATATGTCTTTTTCAGCAAATCATGCAGATATGTGAGGTTAATGTAAAGAAAGCTAATCTGCAAATTTGACAGATTTGTCAGGTGGGTAAAGCAAAATAAATCTTTCTAAGGATTTAAGGTTGCCTATGAATCATCATGCACTTGTGATAGGATAAAAATGTCATGTTTCTAGACTGGGTTCTTGAAATAATGAGCTAAAAATATATATATATATATATATAAAAGTTTAAAACCAATCCCTTTAAATGGTAGGTATGAAAAGTGCAGAGCAGTTAGATATCTAATATAACCAAAAAAAAAATCAATGGTGGTTTTCTTTTTTTTCTCACTTTGTGTCAGTGGAGGAATTTGTTGATGCTTCCTTATTTTCCTAGTGCATTACATTTATTTTTCTTTATTGATTATATAACAGCTGTGCACTCCTGAAGATTTTCTTAATGGTCTCAGTTTCTCTAATATCTTAATTCATTCCTCTCCTTCAGTTTGAGCCCATTAAAACTTTTGACCTGCAGTGTGTACAAACAAATATATGTAAACACATCTATCAGTCAAGTATGGCTGGCGTTTTTTGTATGCTCTGACATGAACATATGTTTTCTTTCTGGCATCATGAAGTAATATAATCTCTGAAGTTATTTAATAAGTAGTGATAAGGTTAAGGAAGAGAGAAAGTAAGTACTGTAAACCCTGAATGTCAACTGTGGAAAGGTAGAAGAACTGAACAAAACTGATATTACAATCATGAGTGTTGCAATGGCTGAGGCTTAGCAGTTAACCTTCTGAACTTGATTTTGAAAGAATGCTTGCCAGGTATTTCAAAATGAATGTTTCCAATAGGATTCATACTGCATTCTTATAATCCATCTCAAAGTCTCTTTCTGTATGTTACTTTCAGTTTTTACATTTTTTTACTCCTCCCTGTTGTTATTTCAATTGCTCTCTTGACAGAGAGTAGGGACACTTGTAGCAGGGAGATAAAGAGGATGCAAGGGTCCTCTGCTTCTGAATAGTAAAAAAAAAAAAAAAGTTGCTATCTATCTAAACTCTCTTTAGATAGGTCTCTTCCTGTAAATTTCTGCTGCATTTGAAATTATAAAGTTCTTTATAAGAACAGAACTCTACTAACAGTATGCTTAGAAAATCACTGTCATGGGAGTTCACTTGAGATTATCTTCCAG